GTGGTGTAGTAAAATGGTGTCCCTGATGAAAACTAGCAAAATCAAGGATTGCTTTTGGGAATAAGGAATCCATAGATCTGAAGGTCCAACTGTACATCTGCTAGTCCTGAAGTTAACACAAAATGTAATTTTGGATAACTCTCTTCTGGCAGCACTCAGCATCAATAATAAGTGTTTGTTCACTGTATGCTACAAGGTAGAATTGCAATTAATTTTACTCACTTTTATGATTCTTGTTCTTTTCCACATTCACAGCCTCCTGTGTTTTGTATGTATGAGTAAATAGGAACCAGCTACAGTTTGCAGAGAAAGTAAAAGTTCAATTAATCTTTGCAATCAATTAAAAACAAATCCTAGAAGTTCTTTGAAAATTGCATAAGAAGGTCTAAGCACTTTAGTGTTGATACCCATCACTGCCTATAAAATATTTGTAGGCAAAGGGATCTTGTAGCACCTTTGAGATTAACTGAAAGCGAGAAGTTGGTAGCATGAGCTTTTGTAGACTCCAGTCTACTTCCTCAGATGGAGCGGAAAGCCCAGGGACAACCAATGTGTGCAAGAATGTCCATAGAAATGCAAAACTTTGTGGGTGTGGAGATGATGTGACAAGGCAGGAGGAAGGATGTTGTTTAATGCCAAGGTGAGTAGATAACCATATGAATGAGTATTGGGATGTAGTGTGGGAACCAAAAAGGAGATGTGATGAACTGGCCAAGGTTGCCCTCATGAAGCTGGGAGGTTAGCTAGTGTTGTAATTCTACAACCATGGAAAGCAACAAATTCAGCTGGATGGAGTGGAAATCCATCAACCTCTTCAAGATGTAGGTCGGTCTCTGGACTCTCCATTCCTCTCTCTGCATCTGAGGAAGTAGGGTCAAGTCTACAGTAGCTCATTCGACCAGCTTCTCTCCTTCAGTTAGTCTCAAAGGTGCTACAAGATCCCTTTCCATACTGGTTTTCCAGACTAATGGGGCCACTGGTTTTCCAGACTAATGTGGCCATGTCTTTAAATTCTATGAAAGTTTGTGGGTTCATTTATTATATTATTTTTTAGTTTAATCTTCTAATGATAGAATTGTAATCCTTTTTCATTTAGTCACTGTTTCACTAATATTGTAACATAAAAACAAAGAGTGATGTTTTAGTGCTAATTAATCTTTAGTGCTAAGTAACCTTAGACTCTGATCACACAGAGCATATGTGGGCAAGCTGAGCAAAATCTGGGAACTCCCATGTCAATAAGTGAGTTTCATTGGGCAATACAGCCATTGATGGAGTTGCCAGAGCTCTGCAAGCTTTTTTTTTTAAATTCCCATGTCATTGCAAAAAACAAAACAAAACCACACACATACACACACGGTAGAGAGAAAGCCAGCCTCCCCTACTTAATATTTGCAGTTGATGCAAATAACTGTAGTCCAGCTACAGTTCAAGTGATAGACGGATTCACATTGTTCAGTTTCATCAATGTATCTGTGCTGCATTTTATTTTGTACATGCTTCATTCTGTACCTAAATAAGGTATATCGTTATACTTTTTCAAATGTAATGGAGTTTTAGCACGATTGTTTCATTGTGCTTTACCTTTTTTATTATCAGATTTTCAGTTAATCTTGTTTCTAGCCTTTGTCAGTTGCTTTGGGTCCCCCATCAAGAGAAAGACGGTGGCATTAAAATAAAATAATATAAAATAAATTTCTCATGCATTATGGGACAGAAAAGTATGTATATGGCACTGAATCCTGTGGGCTTTGGGTTGGGGTGTCATGGAAACCAATGCAAATCTTGTCATGACTATAAAGAGTTCATATACTGTGACCCAAATCCTATTGTAAGCCCTGACTAGAGCAATCCCATTGGTTCAATGAAGTTTATCTATGAGTTGGCTTACCATTCAGCAATGTATTGCATGGGTCCATTCTAGTCAAGACTCAACTACTGAAAGCCAGCCTCTGTGTGTGTGTGTAATATTTTCAAGCTGTGGATGACTGAATTCATGGATAAAGAATCCATGGATCAGGTCTGCAAAATCAAGATCTGCGTTTGGAAATATGTGTGTGTGTGTGTTCCTAAAAGCAGACCTTGTTTTTGCCGTTTTGTATAAGGGACACCATTTTATCACACCATTGTATGTACTGGGACATGAGCATGCACAGATTTTGTTATCCATGCCCATGGGGGATCCTGGAACCAAACCCCAGCGGATACCAAGGGCCCACTGTATTATAGAAATTTTTGCCCAGTGAGTTCTGTATCTGTGTAACTGGTACCAATTGTGAAGACAAACATGCTGCAAGATAATTATTTAGCTTTTTCTTCTTGCTTAGAACAGCAGAATGGACACTTTGTGGGCATTCAATAAAATTAACCAATGTAGCTCTATTAGTTCGTGGCAAAACAGTTGGTGATACTGTATATTCTTCTTGTCATCCCAGTAATATTCATTAGCAGCCCTCTGAACACAAGGAAGCAAATGTCTAGTAGCATAATGGTTTGAGCATTGGACTTTGACTCAGGAGACCAGGATTTGAATTCCAGCTGAGTCACTGGGTGACCTTGAGCAAGTCACATTCTCTCAGCCTCAGGGGATGTCAATGGCAAACCTCCTCTGAACAAATCTTGCCAAGAAAAGCCCATGGTAGGCTCACCATAAGTCAGAAATAGCTTGAAGGCACACAGCAACAAAAACAAGGAAGGGGAAATGGCCATCACTAGTTTGGAAGTGGCAAAGCCATACACCTGAATATTCCTTGTCAAGAAAACCTATGAAATTCATGGGGTCACCATAAGTCAACAGGTGTTTTGGAGACAAACATCTTAAATACCAACCTTCTTACTATTATGAGATCATGCTTTGTTAATGTTTCTATAGTATGTGCTATGATATAGGTTTGCTTTAAACAAGCAGGATGATACAAGAATCTTTCATTTTAATTTGATCTTTTTATTTCTTGATAATACAGGATATGTTTTAATGGGGGAAAAAGCTGACTCAACTGTCCCATGGAACAACTCACCACCAGTACCTTCACCCCTATCCTGAAACTGGGATAATCTGGTTTCTTTATAGTCTTCTCAGCAACTTCATTTCTTCCATTTCAATGGCAGGTTTCATGTTCTGTAAATCTGTACCATCAGTGTAACCTGCCACTGAAATATACCAGTCTTAAACATTGTCAATTGTCTATGGTCATCGCTAAGGTCTTGTATGCATCTTGACACACATAATAAATGGCATCCAATTTTCAATAGAGTGGTCTGTTTCATTTAAGTGGAGTAGCCTGTTCCATGAATGCCCTTGTGCAAAATAATAACTTAGAATCATAGAATCATAGAGTTGGAAGAGACCCCTGAAAGTCATCCAGTCCAACCCCCTTCTGCCATGCAGGAAGATACCATCAAAGCACCCTCAACAGATGGCCATCCAACCTCTGTTTAAAGACCTCCAAAGAAGGAGAGTCCACCAACCTCCGAGGGAGTGTTTTCCACTGTCAAACAGCTTTCATTGTCAGGTGGTTCTTCCTAACAATGAGATGGAAGTTCTTTTCCTGTAGTCTGCATCCTATTCTCTGGAGCAGCAGAAAACAAGCTTGCTCCATCCTCAATATGGCGTCCTTTCAAATATTTAAACATGGCTATCATATCACCTCTTAACCATCTCTTCTCCAGGCTAAACATCCCCAGCTCCCTACGTCACTCCTCATAGGGCATGGTTTCCAGACCCTTCACCATTTTATTTGCCCTCTTCTGAACACACTCTAGTTTGTCGACATCCTTTTTGAATTAAGGTGCCCAGAACTGGACACAGTATTTCAGGTGAGGCCTGAACAAGCAGGATAGAGTAGCAGGATTACTTCCCTGGACCTAGACACTATACTTCTATTGATGTAGCCTAGAATTGCATTGTCCTTTTTAGTTGCCGCATCACACTGTTGACTCATGTTCAACTTCTGGCTTACTAGGACTCCTAGATCTCTTTCACATCTACAATTGTCAAATCAGGTGTTCCCTATCCTATATCTGGACATTCCAATTGTTCAATTTTTTTTCTACCTAGGTGTAGTTTCTCCCTATTGAAATTTATTTTGTTAGTT